GACGAGTGGTGGCGGGGCGAGGACGGCGCCGGAGAAGGTCAGGTGATTGCTGCGGCGTTCTCTGCCGCTGCGGCGGCGGCGGCTGGGGGTGAGCTAAGCGACGTCCCAGAAGCAGCCGCCATGGGGGAGCGGCGGCGCGCGGGCGCGGCGGTCGTGCGGCACGCGCTCGCGGTCGAGGCGCTGAGGGTGATGACGTGGTGCCTCTGGCTGCTGGCTGCGATCTGATTACTGAACGTCAACGTCCCTTTGGCTTCTGAATTCTTCTGATCTCTGCTGGTTGGCATCCCTTGTGGCTGGTGGGTGGCGTCCTGATTAGCAATGGCTGCTGGCCGGCGCCGCCCCGTCAGCTGCAGGCCGCCCAGGGCGCGCGCCTTTGATTGGGGGTCGACCGATCGGCAATGGCACGGAGGCGCCACGCCCGCGCCCCCGGCAGCGGCTGGCTTGCGCACCCGGACAGCTGGATCAAGCTGCGGGGGGCTGCTTTGGTTGTCGTACTGGGCTGGCCCAGTGGCTGGTTCAATGTCTTTGGGATCTGCAAGAAATGGATGCTCAACGGTCTGATTCATCGACGTTTCCCTCGGAGCTCTTCGCGATCGAGCATCGACCCCGCCGACAGCAGCCCTGACTCAATGTAACAACAGCACTAAGTTCAAGCAACCCGTCGTGACGCCGCCAGCGCGCTGCGCCCCCTGCTTCCATCGCAAACACCAAAAACCCACAACTGGGCAGCGCTCAAGACCACAGAGTGTCCGAGGATACCTAAAAGTGTTCAGCCCCGGAGCCGATTTGCATGCATGCCGCCCCAAGAGGCCAGGCCTAGGGTCCCAGCAGGCAGGAGGCCTCTCAACTGCTGACATCAGCGACGAGCTGCCGCTTAGCAAACCTCGTGCTGCACGTGCAGGAGCGGCAGCGCGCCCGTACCGCCAAAGGCCCGCCGGCCGCCAGGCGCGGCGTCGTAGGCGACGGTGCAGCGCACCAGCCCCCCGGGCCTGCGGCGCGCGTGTGTCGTGGGTCAGTCATGCACAGGTGCACTGGTGAGCAGCCAGATGTGTAGTCCAAGCTTGAGCCGATACATATGCACAAGCTGTCTCTCTATGTGTAAGGGGGTACTCACCAAGGGGCAATTGGGGGGTTGACAGCCACCCCCCCCGGCGACCAGTGCACGGAGTGTCGTGGCCCTTGTCTGAATTGCGAGGTCACCAGTCGCCGCTGCCACGCTGTTTTTAGTGGACTCCGTACCACAGAGATCACGGACCCCTTGCAACATTCACTCCCAGTCAATCAAGTCGACTCGGTCAACTCACCCATCCGCTGCGAAGAAGTCGAACGCCACCTGCCGCCCTCCCTCATGGCCCGCCCCCGGCCGCGCCCCTGCCGCCTCGGCCGCAGCCCGCAGGTCGGCGGGGAGCATCACGTAAGCCTCGCCGCCGCCATACACCAACTCAACAATGCCGCGCTCCCCGGTCGATGACTCAGCGGCGGCGCCGCCAGCCGCGGTGACGCCGTGAAGAGCGGGCCCCGGCGCGGGAGCCGCGCCCTCTGCAAGCGTCAGGGGGTGGGGCGGGGCCGCCGCATAGGAGTATCGCGCCGCGCGGCGGTCGGCCGGCGGGCGGCCGAGCTTGCAGTGCAGCAGCGTACTGACGCTGTCGTCGTCGCCCCTGAGGAGGGGGGGGGGCGGCGCGTGTGGGAACGTCAGCGGCAGCGGCGCGGGCTGGGGCGGATGCGTCCATGCTGACGTCAGCAAATTGCGCGTGTGGGGGGGCCTAAGCCATGAGCAGCCCGCCCGCATCACTTCGCACGCAGCCTGAGCGTAGGTGCTGTGTTTTGCTAAGAATGTTTGCTGTGGCAGTGACGAAAACGCCCAAGAGCAGCTGGCCCCACACTCCGCCCGCGACGCAGCGTATGGGCCCCTGGTGACCCGCCAAAACATCTTGCATCCCGACCCCGACTTGGCCTCAGACCTCCGGGCTGGCGCCATCACGCTCCTAATGGCAATTGAGTCCAGGTTGTCGCCCTCCGGCTGCCGCACCAGCCCGGTCCCCTTCTGCCAGTAGTAGCGGTGACCCAGCAGCTTCCCGTCCCGCCAGCCGTACGACACGCTGAGCGTGCTGAGCAGGGGCTCGCCCGCGGCGTCGTGGTGCTGTTTGTTTTGAGCCACGGCGAGGCGGCGCAGGGGGGGGGACGAGGCAGGCGCGATTGAGGTGAGGCAGGGGCCCGCGCTCGCGTGGCTTCGGGCGGGGCTGGTTTGGCTCAAGGCAGTGGATTTGGCCCGGCAGGAAGCCGGCAAGCAAACTGACGAGTGTATTGGCACAGCAGGCAAGGAGCTGGTGGAGGTTGGAGGGCGGCTTTCTTCACAGGTGATAACATATGCTTCAGATCATATCAGATCAGGACACCCTCCACCGATGTGAGGCATCATGAGCTCATCCTTTCAACACATGGAGAGATGCTCACCGCAAGCACGACCTTCAAGAACCAGAAGGTTCCCTCCAGCATCGCCCCCGCCAGCTCCTCACCCCAGGCGTCGGCGCCCGGCAGCGCCGGCGCCATGATGGCCAGGGACCCGCCTCCCAGCGGCAGCAGCCGAGGCGACGCGAACAGGGGCCCCGGCGATGGCGCCCTCCGCGTGCCTCTGCCGGCTGATGCCTGTTCGCCTATGTCCAGCTGCGGGGTCGGTTGAGGGAGTGCGTGCGGGGGACCCCATGCCATGTCAGTGACTGGGCGCGCGTGAGTACCTCGGTGACGCGTCAGCCTGCTGCCTGTGAACTGCAGCTCGTATACTGCAGCACACGTGTCTGATCTCATGGTTCTCATTTGTGGCTGGTGCCTGACGCAAGCATGATCTTTGCGACTACTTCCTCGCTGCCAAATGGCAGTTGTAAGCGACAGGTCAACCTCCCCTGGTGGTGCCGCGCTATGACAAACGCCTGGTGCACGTCAAGCTGGCAACCAGCTAGCACCCCAGAAAGCCCGGCCATGAAACTCCCGCACTTCTAGAAAAAGCAGTGCAGCAGCAGGACAACTCCGCCGCACCTTGAGCACGGGGCTGTCCGGAGAGAAGACGAACGGGCGCGACGCCTCCGCCCCCAGCCGCTTATGGTCCCACAGCAGCGGCAGCAGCACGTCCATCGCCGCCCCGCCGCCCGGCGCCGACGCCGGCGCGCCGGCGCCGCCCTGCGGCGGCCGCAGGCGCGGCTCGGCGC